TACCTTGAAATCATGAAATCATTTCTCTTTTGGAGAGGCACCTACAAAGTCTCTTTTGTACATCTCTATGTCTTCTATTTATTTATTTATTTATTTATTTAAAAGTTTTTTTTCTTTTTGGTCGGAGCTGGGTTTGAACCCGCCACCTCCAGCATACGGGACCGGTGCCCTATCACCTGCAACCTTCAGTCCTGTCCTTGAGAGCAGTGTGCATGGGCTGCTTCTAGTCCTCCATCCTGCCAGTAGTCAAGTGTGGGCTTTTCAAAAATAGCGAAGTCCTGGGCAGCGCCTGTAGCTCAGTGGGTGGGGTGCCGGCCCCATATACCAAGGGTGGCAGGTTGGTAACCCAGCCCCAGTCAAACTGCAAGAAAAAATGTCCTGGCGTGGCAGGCACCTGTGGTCCCTGGTACTCAGGAGGCTGAGGCAAGAGGAACACTTAAACCCAGGAGTTGGAAGTTGCTGTTAGCTGTGACGCCTCAGCGCTCTACCAAGGGGGACAAAGTGAGCCTCTGTCTCAAAAACAAACAAACAAACAAACAAAACCCATAAACCAAAACAGTGAAGTCCTAATGTGTACTAGCCAATTTTTAATCAGTCCTTGTTATGAACCTGTGAAGTAGTTATTATTTTCATTTAATTGATGAATCTGTTTCAGAAAGATTGAGGTAGTGATGGAAAGAGATGAGGATTGCAAGAGTCGCACCCTGTCAATACTGTCGCACCCTGTCAAACACTTGAATTTGTTTTACCAAGTATCATGGCCATATGATGTCCAGGATAGGGCAAAAAATGATTGCCAGGCATTAACATTAATTTACGACAAGCCCTGGGCTTCTGAAGAGTAGGAAATAGTTCCTCAAAGGCTGAACACTGGAATCACCTGGGGATTAAAAAAAAACTACTGGCTCCCACCTTGAGATACGCTGCTTTAACTGAGATTGGGTGTAACCTGGGTTAGGGATTATTTAAAAAATTGGCAACCTGGCCGGGTACAGTGGCTCACGCCTATAATCCCAGCACTCTGGGAGGCCAAGGTGGGTGGATTGTCTGAGCTCACAGGTTTGAGGCCAGCCCGAGCAAGCGTGAGACATTGTCTCTAAAAAATAGCTGGGCATTGGGTGGCGCCTGTGGCTCAAAGTGTACAGCTCTGGCTCCATATACAAACCCAGTCCCGGCCAAAACTGCAAAATAATAATAATAATAATAATAATAAGTGAATAAAAAAATAGCTGGGCATTGTAGCAGGTGCCTGTGGTCCCAGCTACTTGGGAGGCTGAGACAAGAGACTCTCTAGAGCCCAAGAGTTTGAGGTTGCTGTGAGGTATGACACCACAGCACCCTACCAAGGGCAACAAAATGAGACTGTGTATCAAAAAAAAAAAAAAAAAACTGAGTCTAAGACATGGTAAAATTTGGGAACTACTGAACTATGGTATTCTTGGGAAACCTATATGGCAAGTTAGTAGATAAAAACTAAGTAAAAAGATAATGGCTCAATCTATTGAGACAATAGAATTCTTTTTGTTGCTGTCATCTCCTAGTGAGCTGATCTTAGAATGGGAAAATGAACTTACTTTTACTGTTTCTTACCTTGAAATCATGAAATCATTTCTCTTTTGGAGAGGCACCTACAAAGTCTCTTTTGTACATCTCTATGTCTTCTATTTATTTATTTATTTATTTAAAAGTTTTTTTTCTTTTTGGCCGGAGCTGGGTTTGAACCTGCCACCTCCAGCATATGGGACCGGTGCCCTATCCTTTTGAGCCACAGGCGCTACCCTCTATGTCTTTTTTTTTTTTTTTTAATCTGACTTAAAAAAAAAAACTGACTTGTGTTAAGTAACACATATCTATGTCTTTCTAATTGGTAAGAAGAAAAAAAACATTGTGGCGTAAAAAATGGTCTAAGAAGAACAGAGAATTTTGGAAAAGACTTTGAAGAATGCATCTCTTTCTATACAACAAGAAAAATAAAAGCATAGTTCAGGCCACAAAAAAGAGCAATCAGGAGATGATTCCCCCCTTCCCCCATCTATTGTCCTGAGGCAGACTGTCGTGCTATCTTTCTCCAGAACAATTACCCTTAGGTGCCTGAGGGTTATTCACCTTAGCAGGAGGGAGAGAGAGAGAGAGAGAGAAACAATCTTCAAGGGACAGAAACAAGCAAAAGAGCCTGAGTGAGCGAGTAGGTGAAAGAATTGAACACTCTCAGGTGGCACCTGTGGCTCAAAGGAGTGGGGTGCCGGCCCCATATACCAGAGGTGGCAGGTTCAAACCTGGCCCCAAACTGCAAAATCAAACAAAAAAACAAACAACAACAAAGGAACACTCTCCGATTGCCTGCTCCTGCAGCTTCTCATAGAGGTAATCTCCTGGCTTTGCACCACACGTGTAGAGACTGCCCAAGCACTGATCTTCTCATCTCGCTAGCAGGCGAGCCGAATCCCTTCCCGGTGCCCTTATCACCAAGGCTGTGTTACTGAGATGTTACCCATGTATCTTATAATTGCAGAGTGTTGAGAGCTTAGCTCTGGCTTCTCCTTCACATGATTATTTACTTTCCAAAAACTTTCATTCAGGGTATTCTTTCAGGGTTCAAATTGTCCTGTTTTGGATAAATGTTACACAATGTCATAAAGATATAAGTACATAATTATTATTATTATTATTATTCTTTTAAGACAGAGTCTCACTATGCGGCCCTCGGTAGAGTGCTATGACATGACAGTTCCTGGGCTTAGGTGATTATCTTGCCTCAGCCTCCCTTTAGCCTGGGACTTACAGGCACCCGTCACAACACCAGGCTATTTTTGATTGCAGTTGTCATTGTTGTTTAGCTGGCCCAGGCTGATTTTGAACCCATCAGCCTTGATGTATGGCTGGCGCCATAACCACTGTGCTATGGGCGCCAAGCTGTGCATGATTTTAATTTTTGATGAGTTTTTTAATTAACAAAATTTGCTTTTG